ATGCACAGCATATTGGATCACTTGAATCCTCACTCTGTGTCTGAAACCAACTCCCTGCTAATGGGTACCATGGCAAGCAGCAGATGATGGCTCAAGTACTTGGGTGCCTGCTACCCAAGTAGGAGACTCAGTTGGAGTTTCTGTTTCCTGGCTTTGTCTTGCCAGCCCAGAATGTCACAGGCATCTGGGGAGCGTATCAACAGGATGGGAAGATCTTGGGCTCTTCCCTTTGCATTTTATATAAGCAGATAAATGAAACTTTTAAAAAAGTACTATGAAGTAGGCATAGTATTGGGAATATTTTTCCAATTTTTGCTATTTGCTATTCAATCCTCCTGTTGTTTTACATGGTGGTTTTGAAGAACTGTATTTTCTTTGTGACCCACTAAAAGATTGTTATGCACAGTTTAAAACAATTTTCTACATACAGTGGGTACTCTATAAATGCTTGCTATTATTATTTACTTGCATATGGATTTCAAACACCCTTGCAGTACCTTGCATGTAGCAGCCACTTGATAAATGTCTGTGAGTGAATTCATGTGGTTGTCAGTGGCTTAAATTCGAGTGGTTCCAACAGAGGACAGGGAGCAGCATGCTCTCGTAAGGCATGCTCTACCTTCCTCGACTGTCACCAGGAAGTAAGGTGCTACCTAGGTCCACAATCGTGTCTTAGAACTTTAGAAAAAAATTTGCAGGCACCAGAAGGCAGTAAGGGCTCTAACACGGTTGTAATTGCCTGCACAGTGGCAAACTTTCTCATTCAGAACTGGCATCTGTTCGTCCCCTGTCACCTCAGTTAAGTAAATGACTTTAGTGGCTCCATGTGTGGGTGAATTTGACCTTGAATTTGGATTGCCAAATTCCATTAAGAAGCAAAAGTCTTACAGCTGCAATGCATCTTTGAAGCAGTGTCTTTGGGTGTGCAAGGCAAAGACAGAGTTACTTTCAGATCCTCCTGGACATAGAATTTCCAAAAAGTAGAAGAGGTTTTCATTTCCAGGATCCATTTGGTGGTAGTCTATCATAATGCATGGGCTACTCTGTCTAAAGCCTTCAGTTGGCTTTGAAAACAGGAGCTTTTGAACATCCAGTAATGAGCATTCCAATTAAGAGTGGAAAGGAGTCAGAGAAATCTCTCTAATTCAAATGGAAAATCCAGATAAAAGACGCTAGTATTCTGTGTGCTGCAGAACCACTCAGTCCCATGACCCAGACCCTGTGCTGGGATTCCTAATGACACTTTGTTTCCATAACACTGTGCATTTCTGCCAGGCAGTCAGAGCACATTTTAGACTCTGAAAACAAAGAGAACTTAAGCTAAACTCTGAGTCTGTCCTGGAAAAGAAAGGGTGTGCTTACTTTTTTCACTGAACAAAATGAAAAGAAAAGAAAGGTTAGTACAATGAATGCAGTGTTCTACTCTGTGCCCATAAAGCTGTTGTTACCTGAACCTAGGATGTGCAGTCAGTGGCTCCCAAAGACTGGGGATAACCGGGATTTGATGCTTGATTAGACCCATGTCCCCAAACTTGGCTATTCATGGGAATCATCTAGGAAGCTTTTTGAAATCAAGGACTCCAGGCTTCACCTAGGCCTAGTTGAGTAAGACTAGGACAAAGGCCAATTGCACTTTTCTTTACACAGGCCACCTGGCTCCTGAGGGGGAGGGTGTCGGAAGAACCCATGTACCACATTTGCAGCTCAGTTACTATGAAGCAGGGACTTGGATGGTAAAGAAAACCGCACATGCGTGATAAGCATCCACCTTCCTACTTGATGTAGCACTTTCCTAATAAACACTCTAAAACAACCTTTAGCAAGAAAGCAGCAGGTCTTCTGTTATTCCTGGATGCTTCCAGTCCATTCATGCTCTGTTATTAATGAGTCCTCTCCAAGAGGGAGACATTTTTTCCGTGCTGCATGAACTCAGTATGAAAACGCAGATGGGACCATTTTTCAAAGTGCCACTCTAGTACTATGTTTCTTTATTACAAGACATGGTCCTGCTTTTGCAATCTGAGCAACATAACCTATTTGAAAAGGTAAAAAAAAAAGTAGCAACTTTATTTTCCTCACTATTCTCCTTATCACAAATTCAGAGGCATTAAAAATAGACCCTGTTTTCCATGATTAGAGAGAAAATGGATGGGTAGCTAAATATCTAACTATATGTAATATTCAGAAAAGCAACTCACTGGTTTCTTATTTCTTCCCCTTGCTTTTCCTTTGCAGACAAGTGTTTTCTAGGCTTTCCCTTCTGCACTGTATTGCTTGTGTTTCAGCACCAAAGCCCAGTTATTCAAGTTGATTCCCCTCAGGGACTCTGCACAATTCTGGTCTGGCTTCCGGAGCATAATAGGCTATTAGAGTTGGAATGGAACACAGCAGACCTTCAAAAGCACAGTCTGATTTCATCTTAGAAAATGGAGACCTAGAAGTTCAATGGCTTACCAGTGTCTACAACAAAGCCAGAATGAAATTCTCCTCTCCTGGGGGAAGCTGAACCTTCTTCTCCTGGGTCATTCTGTTCCTACTAAGTGAGCAGGTATGTGGCAGGATATGAGTCGGGGTTTTAAAGGGAACTAGAGTCAGATGCAGGAGGGTAAACTTCAAAACATTCCTGGGAAATGGAATTGAAAGGTGTGTTTCTTTTTAGTGCAAAAAATAATTCTGAAATCCAGCCTGTTTTTTTCAAAACACATATTTTTCCGTGACCTTTTAGAAGACTTTGTGTGTGTGTGTGTGTAGATATAGAGAAATAGTAGGTAGATATGTTGTCAGAATTAACCAACACAGTGCCTGGTGCTGCAGTTCAATTGGCTAATCCTCCCCTTCCAAGTGCCGGCATCCTACATAGGCACAAGTTCATGTCCCAGCTGCTCTACTTCCCACCCAGCTCCCTGCTTGTGGCCTGGGAAAGCAGTGGAGGACAGCCCAAAGCCTTGGGACCCTGCACCCAAAGATGTCGAACCAGCACTCTAATATTCCCAGGATGTCCGTGTTGCAAGCTGCAAATTAACATGCTGTGCCGCCATCCTGGCCCCATAGAACCTTCTTTATGGAAACAATCTGGTGACTTGATATTTATCAACTAGGACAGAAACAAGGACTGGGGATTTCTAACAATTTATTTCACTGAAATGCCCATATAGAAGATTCCTGACCAGGGAGACAGCAGCTTAGCCCAGGCAAGACTCCAACCTGTTGTTTGGGAAGCACTGTGTAATTCTGAGTACCCAAAGAGATAGTAGGGTGCCAGTGCCCTTAGGCCCCAAAGAAGTTAGTTTTATTTACCATTGCTTTGGTAGGAGCACAGCAAGTGTTTTTCTAGACAGTAAAGAAGAGAACTAGCATCTTGGCCTTATGACAGAAAAGAATGTTTTTATAACTGTGGCTCCTTTAAAAGGATCTTAGAGACCACACTAGGGGGTTCCCAGATCACATTGGAGAACCACAATTTTAGTTAAAACCATCTACCTGCTACTCATACTAATTACCAAAATTTTCCTGGAAGTTCACTTATACAAAGAAAAAGAGGAGCTAGGATCATGACCTTAGATGTTGATACAGAAGCCTCTGGGAGGAACGTTATCCTTTAATATATATTTTTTTAATATTTATTTACTTATTGGAAAGTCAGATATACAGAGAGGAGAGACAGAGAGGAAGATCTTCTGTCCGATGATTCACTCCCCAAGTGAGAGCAACGGCCAATGCCATGCCGATCCGAAGCCAGGAGCCTCTTCCGGGTCTCCCACACGGGTACAGGGTCCCAAGGCTTTGGGCCGTCCTTGATGGCTTTCCCAGGCCACAAACAGGGAGCTGGGTGGGAAGTAGAGCTGCTGGGATTAGAACCGGCGCCCATATGGGATCCCGGCACGATCAAGGCAAGGACTTTAGCCACTAGGCCACACCACCGGGCCCTATGCTTTAATATTTTAAACAGCAGGCCCAGCACAGTGGCTCAATAGGCTAATCTCCACCTGTAGGCACTGGCATCCCATATAGGCACTGGTTCACGTCCCAGCTGCCTGCCAGTGGCCTGGGAAAGCAATACAGGATGAGACAAGAGCAGAATTCCCAGTGGACCTCACAAATAGTCCATTCCTGATAAGGAAATTAACAAAGGACCCCCCCCCAAAAAAAAAAACTCAAAAGATCAATTCCTTGGAAGCTTGATGAAAAGTGTGCCTGTGTATATATACAAAGCTTTTCATTTGTTAGCGAAATAGACATAATTATATAAACATGTAGGTTAAGTTAAAACAAGTTAACCTTGTCCTTGGCCATAAAACTGCAATATTTTGGGGTAATGATCTCCCTCCCAAACTCGAAAATCTTAAAACTGCACCCATTTCTGCAGGGTAAAAAGTCAGAACTCCCACAGTTATCCTTTGTTAATCTGCAATATCCTAAGAACAGAATTACACCCCGAAAACAAGTACTTGAGGTTAAGAACCCATGGAGCCCTTGGGGGAAGAGAAAATCTTGCTTTCACTTCGGCGGTGGGCATGTTAGAAAACGCTAATTTGCACCCGAACTCCATTACTTTGGCCTTGTTCCAAGTTTGGGATATGTTTTGTCCCCCAAAACATTATCTGGATGCAGCCTGCGCGGGCTGTGTCTCCGCAATTTCCCGAGAGGAAGCGTGTTTGCAGGGCCAGGCAGGGTGGCTCCGGGGATTCGCGTTAGAGGGGGACAGGTCCTCTCCGGGGGTCCCCTCCGACCACGCCCCCAGGTCGCCTCCCGGGCGGCGCGCGCACAGGCTCGGGAGCGAGGACGCGCGCGCGCGAGGCCGGGGCGTTGGGGCGCGCACGGCCGGGCCGGAGCGCGGCGGCCGCGTGGGGCGGCGGCGGCCTCACCCCCCAGAGCCGGCTCCAACGCCCGGCTTCCTCCTTCCGGCGCCGCCGCCACTCTCCGGGGCCGCGGCGCAGGGGCCGGCGGCGGCACGGAGGCCTCGGGCGGGGCGGGCCTCCCGTGGTCGGGAGGCCGCGGGGAGCCGAGCGCTGCGCCCGCAGGCCCAGCGAGGCCGACGTGGGAGGAGTCCGAGCGCCGGCCGCGCGGAGGGTGAGCTCCGGGATCCGCAGCCGGTGGGGTGGGAGTGGGGTGCCTCTGGCCCCGGGACCGCCGGCTCCCACACCGTGGGGCAGATGGAAACCGGGAGAGAACCGGTTTTTCCTAGCGAGCCACCTCCGGGTGGGAATCGCAGCTAGCGTCTCTGTCCTTAATTATGCAATAAGGCAGCATCTTGCTGCGGGAAGCCGCGGTCGGCGGGATTCCTGCTGCTTGGGCGCTTGGTCATTTACTTCTGGCCATCTGGACCGGGAATTTGCATTTATCATTGGGAGCGGAAAGCGAAGGCAAAGGTTCTATTTGGGTCCGAGGAACGCGCCGAGATGAGGGTGGTGGGTTAGGGGACATCTGGGGCGAAGGAGCCTGTGCCACATTCCCCCAAGTGCGGAATGGGCGGGAAGGGCAAGAAATACTAGACCCCAGATGGACAAGGCTGCGGAGCGCCTGAGCCGCCCCCTCCCACCCCTATTTTGCTCGGTTGAGGGGCCTGTCAGAAGTTGGAGGCTAATGCATAAATTTTCTGCGCTTCCTGGCTCGTGGAGTCGGAGCCGGTTTTCCAGACTTGTCCTCTTTGTTTTTCCTAGTCGGCTGCTGCAGGCGGGACAAGGGCTGGGCTGCATGGAAAGCACGGCAGCCAGGTTCTGGTGAGCTAAGTATAAAGGCTTTCTCTGTCTGGGGCTTGGGGCCATCCTTCTGGGTGCTTGGAACTGCCAGCCCGAGAACGGCACAGACAGCCTTGAAATTGGACGGCTCCGTTTGCAGCTCCAGCTCGCTGACCCTCAGCCACGTACTTACTACTGCGCCCTTTTCAACACTGGCTTCTTTTTAAGACAGGAAAGAGGGAGATGGTAATTAGGGCATGGCCCATCTTGGCTCAGAATTGGAATCCCATCGTTTTTCCTGTGGATTCTGAGTAATAGAATCTCCAAAGAAATACCTGAGAGGAAGAAGAGTCTTGCCTTCCTCACGTGAAAAATCAGTGGAGCAAGAAGCCGAACAAAGGAAAGAATTAGGGAGCCTTCTGGGCAGGTGTGCAGTTGTGTTCAGATGCTCTTCCAGTGTTGGAGTGGGGGCGAGCCAGACCTGGGAATAGCAGAAAGGTGAACCTTACATCTTGCAGAAACCAGGTCTGCTGCTGCTGCTTTTTTGTTTTGTTTTAAATGTCTCCAGATCTGGAACAATCTGGATGCACATATGATAGCATGAAGGGGCAGTTGTGCAGCCTGCGTAGCATGAACTGACCTCTAATGCTAACACGGGATGGAAGCAGGGTTGGGAATACCTGCTAGGCTGTGCTGTTGTGTCCCGGGCAGCTTGGCGTGTTCTGTGGTCAGTGAGCTGCACGTCTGTTCTGTGAAGTCTGTGATCTCTCTATTTCATGAGTTTGGCTTGTTGCCGGGTGTTTATTCATTTGGTGACATTTGTCCAGACTTTGCCAGTTGCTGCACCTTCAAGGGGTGCAGAGCCCTGGGGACGGGTTGCATTGGAAGCCCTTATAGACTCCTTTGGGAGGCCTTTGCCTAGTGTGAAAAGTAGGAAAGGACTAGAAGAGCAATTTGCTGCACATGCATTTCTTTAGTTCCATGAAGTCTCTCAGGCTCTTGCTACATTTACAGAACTCGTTGATTTACTAAGAAGTCTACCTTGGAGAGACTTGCTATGCAAACTATAATTGGGTAACCAGATTGGCCAGCTCTTTGCCAAGTATAAACCAGGCTGTGTGAAGCAAGCTGATCTTATAACTTTTGATGATGCTTGTTGCTTTTTTTTCTCTCTTGTCCTATACAGCGACAAGTGGAACCAAGAAACTCCAGAGTAACACAGCAAGGCAATGTGACCCCGACCTGCGAAGGTACAAAAAGGAGAACTCGGCAGGTATTTGAGATCCAGGCCATTCAGTGATCTTACTGCCTCCTTTCTTGCTTGTGTCATAAAAGAGATTTCAGGAAATCCAAAACTCTAGGAGTAGGATTCGGTATGCATCCACGTAGAGGTGTTTCCTTCGATATTCTTGTAGGAGCACACCCTCGGGCAGGATGAGGTGAGGCGGTGCCCGTGGAGGCCCTGCCTGGCGGTGAGCCCGTGCAGGTGTTTTCTGTATGTTGTGTTTACTCCCCCAGACTGCCTTAGCCACTGGGGTCTTCCTCACTGCACAGAGGCGGGAGGGTTTGCATTCTGCTAGCTAAGCGTGAGCAGTCGTTCGGAGGCTGTGTATGACAGGGACAGTAGCAGAGACGACAGAGGACATGTCTGAGGAACTATGCAGGAAGGACACTGTCACTTCTCGAATTATGGGATCCACACGATGGTCTTTTTCTGGGAGGAGGGAGAAAGAGAGAAAGAGCGAGAGAGAGAGAGCTGTGTCCCCTGTTAAATGAATGAGTGACTTCTGGAAAAAGGCCTTGAAAGTGAGTATGATGGATGTGTGGACTGCAGGACTTTCCAAAACGTTTATGAACAAGTGATGTGCACCTGCAGGTGGGGCATGGCTGGTGGGAGAATCACTTTATGAGTCTAGCGGCGTGTTGCTTTTGTTGAATGTTACTGGCAGCTGAGCAACATGAATTTCCCAGCTTCTTAGTGGAGAGGAAAGGGGATTTGCATCAAAAGCTGGTGCCAGTACTCTCCCCATTGTTCATTGCAAGCGTGTCTCCTGTATGCTGCTTTTATTTGAGGGTGGGAATGGGATGATGGCATGATTCAAGAGTCTTTAGGTTTGACTATGTCCTTGTTTCCTGGACCCTCCTTTCCCCATAATTAACTCCTCAGTTTTCTCTTGCTGGTTTTCAAAAGAGCCCAGGCCTCTGGCTTGCTGTCTGATCCTACATCTTGATATGGGGAAACTGAGGATGGATGTGGCCCCGCTGGGAGCTGGGTGTGGAGGCCTCTGGTCATGGTGTGTACCATGACCAGCGGGGCTGCAGGCACATGGGACTTGCCACACCACTGGCTACAAGGGCTACTCTGCCAGTCATCTTGGCTCATGGAACAGAGAGAAGGTGATTACAGCAAGTGTCAGGCTTTGTAAAGACCATTGTCACCTGGCTGTAGGGAGAGCTGTGACCTTCAGCTGCACCCTAGAGAAAGGACCATTAACATCAGGCCCCTGACAGAGAGAACCTTGGTGCAGCCATCTGGGACAGCAGGCAAACTGTGTGGGAACTTTTATGTTCAAGAACAAGGTTTATGAACAAGGTTTAGTCCTTAAAAAGTTGGGCTTGCCATACTGTCTTGTTAAAAAAAAAATGGAGAGGGGACAAAGGATCATGGCTTTTTCCCCCAAGGTCAAACAAGCCCTCCTCCTACAGAGTCCAGTTGCCCATAGCTGGGAGACTCACAGGGTGAAATGGGAGCTGTAGAGAAGGGGCTAGGGTCTCATGAAACCCCTGGAAGCTGTTTATCCAGAACACATGTTGTTCAGAGCATCTGTCGATTCTCACTGACCACATACATTTTTGCTGCCAGTTTTGCTTCTTAAATTGGAAGGAGACCATGGTAGAAGATAGCCATTGTGCTGGCTGCCTGGTCTTTGCATTTGAATGGGATCCTAGGGAGTCCCACCAGCAAGAAAATCTGCAGCTGCCAGAGTTTATGTGGTTGTGGTGGGGTGTTCTCAGAGCCCAGAGCATTGCTCTGTTGCCCCAAAGCTCCCAGATGATCATGGTGGACAGCCAGGGCTCAGAAGCACAGCCACAGCTCTGGGTATTAGGTGAGACATGCCTTCTGATTCACAGGGTGGGCAGCCTCAAAGCAGTCCCGTCTCTGTGAGCAGGATGTGCCACTCTGCAGGCCTTGCCCAAGCCCCACGGATCCCGAGACTGAGGAGGGGGGCAAAGGTATTAGTACGGGTCTCTGGGTTTACGTGTGACCCTTGGAATACTTCCTTTTCGGAGTGAGCATTGGAACAGCACTGAAGCCTGCACTTGGGGATCCCTCGTCATCCAGGCCTGGCTGCACTTTCAAACACAGCTTCCTGTTAGTAATGCACCCTGGGAAACAGCAGGTGTTTTAAGTCCTTGCGTCTACAGGACCCAGGTGGAAGACGGGGTCTGAGTTCTAGGCTCATGTCTTTGGTGTGGGCCAGGCCCAGCTATCACTCAGGAAGGGGGCCAGTGGATGGGAGGTCTTTCTTGGTCTCTGTGCCTTTGAAATAAATAAGAAATTTAGCAACAATGTTCCCTGTTCCATGAATGAAAATGACCTGAGACTGAGCAGGACACCTGCTCTTTGCATCTTTCATAATGCTGCCATACAAGTTGTTGGAAAACTTAGATCACAGTGTCCCCCTTCTGTGTAAAATGCTCTTGTGGGTTTCCAGGGCTTGCGGGGGAAAGACTAAGTTCTGCTAGCGGGTCCCAAGCTGTCTGGGCTGCACGTGCTGTCACCTTGCCCTAGAATTGCCTGCAAGGCCCTCCTAGGCTACTTGGGGACCTGCTTCCCTGGCCCAGAACCTTCCTCTCCTTAGGCACCCATCCATACTGCTCCTGGCCACTCCACCTGGTCCCCCCTGCTGTGTTTGTGACTCAACAGCGGCCTGTCCTTTCATTCCCACCATTTCTGAAGGATTCTTTGATTCATGTGGGTCTCTGGTTATAGACTGTATGCCTGTAAGGGACAGAAACTCGTGTGTGTGTGTGTGTGTGTGTGTTTGTATGAAATAGAGACAGATTTGGCCTTGTTCCTACGTCCCTATGTCTGCAGCACTTAACGTACTGGATGAGTGAGTATAGCTGGTCACTATGCACTTGATTGAGGAATATCTTTCTGGTTCTTTTGTCCTTACTTACATTTACATGTAAGTAGACACCTGCTTGTGTCTGAAGGTCATGCGTTGTAAACCGTAGAGGTCATTGCCACTCTCTGGATAGCAGCAGCTTTTGGTTCTTTCACCTAAGACACGACTTGGAGAACAAGTTCTTTATGTCTGAATTTTTCACCAGGGTACCTTGACAGTTTTCCACTCTAATTTGAATTTTCTCACCATAGACAAAGGGAGGAGATACTTAACTGTTACTTCTGCTGCAGTGTTTCCCTGCAAGCCTTGGGCAACCTCTCCTGCCTTCCCCACCCTTTACCTGGGTGGGGAATGGGGACCTATTGCTGCTGCTGTGGGATATGCTGGCTGAGGCTGCAAAACTGCAGCCTCCACCCGGGAGGCCTGGGGGAGAGTTTCCAGCAAGTCCAACCAAGCCAGGCAAGTGGAGGGGCAGGTGTTACAAGTGTTTGTAACTCAGCCATCCCTTGGTGTCCATGGGGAAATTGTGCCAGAATCCAGGGACGCTCAATCATGTAAAATGGCCCGGTGTTCACCGGAACCTGTGCATCGCCTCCCTCATGCGGTAAAGCCTCTTGGATTCCTAGTAATGCTTCATGCTGTGCTGTGGAAGCAGTTGTTACGTTGTTGTATCCTTTAGGGAGTAGAGAAAGACGGCTGGAGCTACTCAGTATAGTCTTGCAGTTCTTCAGGGTATTTTCTAAGATCAAAAAGTGAACCTCCAGACAGGGAATGGGGACTGTGTTATTTTCTGAATATCACGTTTTAATTTATTTTCAAAATTAAGTAAGAGCTAACAAAGACAATGCTATATTTACTGAATATTCAAATACTGACTTTGTCAACTCACTGCAGTCTTTGTCAGCTAGCGACATATCTGCCATCCTTTCCCATACTTTATAAAATGCTAAACTGTAGTTAGCTGTAGAGGGGCAGAAAAAGGTAACCTGCAGAAATAAAAACACTAGGGTCCATGTATGTGGGTAGCATTTTCCGTATCTCACCAGGTTTTATGATATAAAGCATACATATTGCAAAAAGTTTTTAAATATATTTATTTTTATTTGAAAGGCAGAATTACAGAAGGAGAGACAGAGAGTAAGAGATCTTCTACCCACTGGCTCACTTCCCAAATGTCTGCAGTGGCTGAAGCTGGGTTAGTGTAAAACTAGGCATCTGGCATTCGCCCAGGTCCCCCATGTGGGTACAGGAGCCCAGGGACTTGGGCCAGCTGCTGCTTTCCCAGGCCTTTAGTTGGGGGCTACATCAGAAGTGGAGCAGTCAGGACATAGACTGGCACCCATATAGGATGCCATTTTGCAGACAGGACTAGCTGGCTATGCCACAACATGGGTGCTATAAAGGTTTTTTAGAGATACAAAGGTATGAAGTATATATTTTAAAATCCCTGTTCTGTGCATTATATATATATGTCTGTGTTGGCATGTGTACATGGTCACATACAGTCACACACAATACTGTGCTGAAACTTGCCTTTTTTGTTTACTGCTGCATTTCTGCATTGTAAGATCTGTACTATTGCCTTACCTTTCAGTTTAGCATTTTATTTGAAATTTAAAAAGGTGATCTCTGTGGTCTCTAACGTGATTTCTAACTCCCTGATCCTTGTAATTGTAAATTGCATTCAGAGGCATGCGTGTGCTGTACGTTATAAAATACAGCCTTATTTTCAAGTAATACTGAAATCCCAGTAGCTTCTGGTTATTTCCTAATCTCCAGTAATGGGTATTAACTATGTAGCCTCTCTTGTGTGGAGTATGGAGAAATATTTTGAGGCCATAAGGGTGCTTTAAAAAGTTTGGAAACCTTTCTGCAGTCTCTTCTGGCCATCCAGAGTTTTCCTTGGTGGCGTCATTCAGCAGGTAATGATGGTCTGCTCCCGTGTGCCAGGTGCCACCCTGGCCTTGGCATACGGATCAGCACCTGCTCATATTCCGCAGGGGAAGCAGTGAACAGTAAGCATGGTCGGGCCGAGCTAGGCCAGTATAGGGCAGCAACCAAGGTCAAGGGTTGGGGATCTGTCCCCCAACAGGATGTGGGGTCATGGGCAGGCGACACCTGTGCTCCAGGCACTGGGAGAGGCGTGCGGCTGATGCTGTTGTCCGTTCTCCAGAGAGCAGTTGGCAGGCGCTAGGGGGGTGCAAGTGAAGGCTTCCGGATCTACAGCACCCCCCTCCGCCCCCGCCAGAATTGCCAGTGTGTGTGTGTGTGTCCTGGGGACCTCCCCAAGGGCGGGAGGCCACAGGCAATCTGTGAAAGGGGCAAGTACCTCACACCTCATAGACAGCCTTTCTCCCATCCCTGTGCAGTGGCCCGGCGGGGAGAGGGGCACTCTAGATGTCTTAGTTGAGTTCACAGTGATCACACTGCACATTGAAATTTTCAGGAAATTAAATTCTCATCCTGAAGAATGTGTTGGGGGATAGATTGTGAGTTCTGTGGTTGTTGAGGAGGCATCCGACAGACTGCCCAGAGAGCATACAACACCCCAGTGGCTGTGCAGGTAGGTGCTTTGTCCTCACAGATGAGAACATTGGGGGCCCCTGGCTGGGGAGCAGCTGTGAGCTCTGGGCTTCCTATGAGAATGCAGGGCAGGCTGAGCAGGAGCCTGTGGCTCTCCCTTTTCACCTGCCCAGATGAGCCACCTGGCTTGCTGTTGGGCACCTCAGGTGCTCTTTGTTTGCTGGTCAAACCCTGTTCAGCGTCTCCCTGCTTCACCTCAAGGTGAGCTCAGTGAATGGCTTCTAATTAGACCATACTGGAAAGTATCTAAAGCCCTCTAGAGCTGCTCCTGATCCTGCTTAGAGAGACTTAGAGTAGACCAGAAGGTCATGCTGATGCCGAGGGGCTCATCGGCTTCGGCTCCTGCTGCCAGCCAAGCAAGTGCACGTCCTTATACCCACATTGCCTCATGCAGTCCCTGAGGCCACCTGGGGGAGGAGGCCCTGCCCTCAGAGATGGCACCCTGAGACTTAGAACTGGCAGAGGCTTGCTGCTTCCCAGGGCTTGCAAGCCACTCAGCAGGGTTTGAACCAAGGCCAGGCTTGTGCAGCTGGTCCTGAGATCCCCGTTGAGGAGTGGTGGGGCAGAAGGAGGCAGCAGGATGGCTGGTTTCAGGCAGAGAGAGGAGAGCTTGGCGTATCTCTTGTGGGCACTGTTGGGAGATAACTGCAGGACAAGCGACTGAATTTGCATTTCAGAAAACAACAGATTTTATAGCATAAACATGTCCCGTGCAACATTTGTGATATGCTCACGGGAAAATAATTATTTCTTATTTACCTGAGATTTTCTTCTTGTTTGTTTGATCTGACAAGTATCCTGAAGGACCCAGGAAAACACCCTGGTGGGCCCGCTGCTGACCACCTGCTTCCAGGACCCCCTCTCCCCACCTCCATAGTGTTAGCTCAGCCCAGACAGGAGGAGTCAGGAGACAGATCTATGCAGTCACCTCTCAACCTGGGCTGCAGGAACAAAGATGTTATCTTCTTGTTGCTGCCACTCTATTAGAGTGATGAATATAGGGCTCAATAATGTAATGAGACCCTTGGGGTTATTAAATATGATCTTTCAGGGGTTGGTATTGCAGCAAAGCAGGTTAGGCTGCCGCTTGTCATGCCAGCATCCCATATGGGTGCCCGTTTGTGAGTCCCAGCTACTCTCCTTCCAATCCAGCTCCCTACCAATGCACTTGGGAGAGCAGCAGAAGATGGCCCTAGTATTGGAGCCCCTGCCACGCACATGAGAGATTAATTGGAATTCTGAATTCCTGGCTTCAGGCCGGCCCATACCCATAACGACCCATAACGGCCGTTTGACGAAGGAACCAGCAGATGGAGGATACTGTCCCCTCCCCTCTGCCCCCCACCATCACCCAGTGAGTATGAACTTTTAAAAGCCAAGTCAACCAACACTTGATATTTGCACAAGGACATTTAAAACAATTTGTTGAGAAATGAAGTTAAAAGATAAGTTGGGGATGAGCACTTGGCTTAACACGTAGACCCCTTGTCAGGGTGCTGGCATTCTTGGCCCGGTGCCTGGGCCCAAGAGCCCCCTGTGCTCCTGCTGCTCGCTTCCTGCCAGTGCAGACACTGGGAGGCAGAACTGGCTCATGCAGTGGGATTCCAGTTGTTCCCAGGGAGGCCTGGATTGAATACCTGGCTCCCAGCTTCGGCTTCACCTAGCCGCAGCTGTTGCAGTGATCTGGGGAGGATGCTGGTGGATAGGTGCCCTCTCAATTAAAATAAAAAGAAAGCTTTCCTGATATACAAGCATTCTGAGGTTGTCTGTATTCCTGCCTGTGCTGTTACTGAAATCACCTGTCTTGTTAGTTGCTTTTTGCCTCGCTGACTTCCTTGCGCACATCAGAAGCATCTCTCCTGTGTTTTCCAGGAAGATCCGTGGAAAGGGCTGACGTTGGACAACATGCACCAGCAGTGGCTTCTATTGGCTGCTTGCTTTTGGGTGATCTTCATGTTCATGGTGGCCAGCAAGTTCATCACCTTGACCTTTAAAGACCCAGACGGTAGGTAGCACATTGTTCCTCGGTGCAGGCTGGGATGGCTGCTCTCCCAGGAGGGCCACCCGCTGTGTGTGGCCTCCAGAACCTGCAAGTCACAGAAGTGAATGAGGAGAGGAGGAAATGGGGCTGAGGGTTCTTCCCCTGGAGGGCAGCTGAGGCAAGCCCTGAAGGGGCTACACAGGGGAGCCCCAGCAGACCAGGTGGCTTCCAGGAGAGGGGCCTTCATAGCTGCAGATCCTTCCCAGCTGGGAGCTGGGGCCTTGGGTGAGTACCGCAGGGCTGTGTGCCTCATGGCCATCCTGTCACTAGTGGCACTTAGGAGGCATCGGCTGGAAGTGCATGGACACTCCTGGCACCCCCAGCAACCCCTCCCAGGGGCCACTGACACACACTGGAGAGCTCCAGTGTGATCCCAGATGAGCTGAGGGAGGCCCATGCCACACACCTTCTTGCCTTGTGTGGAAGAGTAGGGTGGGCACAGGTTGCAGGCACATTAGGGGTGCCCTGCAGTGAGCTTCAGGTGGTGACTCACCCTGGAGGAGTGCTGGGATGGTGACGAAGGGCTCATCTTCACTGAGGAGAAAGACTGTGGAATCTGCACAACTCTGGCGGGGTGGGGGGGGGGGTGATTAAGCAGGTTATACTTGCTTAATCCCAGATGCATTACGGAGCACCACAGTGCATCCAGGGGACAGGAGCTCTGCTAGAAGAGCAGGTTGCATCTGGTGGGGCCGGAATTTGAGATGATGATCACAGGACATGGATTGGGCCATTTCTGTAGTGGCTTCAGCATAGTCCCCTGCCCCAGGAGACTGGCCAGCCCCTCATTGCACCTAAGAGTGACTCTCTTCCCAGCAGGGCCACCCAAGACCCCTAACACCTCCCACGGCTGGAGCCCAGGTGAATTAGGGCCTTGAGAAGGAGTCCCAGTTGAGAATCTGCAGTGCTGCAGAGCTGGTAGAAAGAAGCAAGACTGCGAGCAGACCTTGCTGAGTGTCCCCTCTGGGGAAAGGCGGAGGCAGGCGTGAAACGGCAGGTCACCAGGTTTTGTGGTGGACCGGTTGGTTTCAGAAGTGGGAGGGTGATTGTGGCAAGGTTTCCGTCAGCGGGAATTGCTTGAGCTGTTATCTGGAGGAATTGACTTTGGAGAACAACTCATTTCTCAGCTCAAACCTCAGTGGTGTCTCATGCATGAGGCATCAGCACAATTCATGGTGGAAACTTTCCAGCAAAGGGCAGAAGCTGAGAGGGTTTTTTGAAGGAGAGTAAATATAAAGGAGACTGGAAGGGAAGAGCTGTGAGAAAAGGCAGATGGTTCAAGGATGTTCAGCCTGGGGGAGGGAACTGCCATCACACATAGTTCTGCTAACTGGACACAGCCGGGACGGACAAGCTCACAGCCACCACCCACGCCCGGACTCGTTCAGGACAAGGGATTTTGCCAGTCCTGAACATGTGTGGAGTTTTTTTGTTTTTGTTTGTTTACCTTTTCATTATTTTCTGAACCCTATGGTGTAATAGTCAATTACATGGCATGTCAATGTTCATCCTGAGTTTTCTGGAGGTGACTGATGGGCGTGGCTTGTGTGCAGATTCCACACCCTTGTACACAACAGATCTGAGCAGCCAGACTTTGCATCCCCAGGGGAGGTGGGGGCATCCTGGCCACTGAACTGTGACAATGTGAAAGTGCTGGGAGGTGGTTCCTCTGACTGCCGGGCTTTGTGGCCATGGTGCCCCTTCTGATTGTTCAGAGCCTGTGCACGGTTGGCCCTGGTGAGGATGCCTTAACCCCACAGCATTGGTGGCCTTGGAGAGTAAGGGATTGGACACTGAACGAGGTATGTGGGAAGCTAGGACATGATGACAGCTTTCAGAAAAGCCAGGCAGTCCATGACCTAGCACCTTTAGACGTTTTGCACCAGGCCGTTAGCATAACAATTCCTGTGATAGAACAAAGCCAAGACATTAGGATGCTACCTGGGTACCCCTGGAGGGTGAAGCTCCTCCTTATGGAGGCTGCAGCTTGCTCTGACAGGCAGCAGAGATAAGGACCCAACACGTGATTGTCTGCAAACCAACGGAAAAAGAGACCCAGACCTGCGCCGTGCGGTCAGCTTCATCTGAATGTAATTGAGTCAGGAAAGGGGCAAGTTGCAATATCAGGAAGTGTTAAGATTATGAAGTTGTCAAAGCCAGCGGAGATGGCTATTGGGCACATGCCTGGTGGCAGGGGAATGTCCCCCATCCCTGAAACCCAGTCCATGCCACCCCCTGAGCTTGCCGTGGACTAGGTTGTGTCTCAGAGCTAGTTAGGATTCAGGATTCTCCATCTAAAAGGTGATTAAGGAAGGTGAGGCTTCTCAGTGTTAGGATGCTGGGGGAGGCTGACCCCAATGCCTCCTCCGATTTGCCCATTCACGGTATCCATTGTCTCAGTACCAAGGGTTGGGGGTGGGCACAGCTCTCGCACACAGTGCTCGTCTGGGCTGTACTCTGCCTCAGGCAGGAAAAAGGAGCCCAGGTTTGCATGGGATCCAGAAAGCTGTTCAGCAGAGAGATTGCATGGGGATCCAAGAGCTCTACAGGCAGAGGGTAGGGAGGACACAGCATGCTGAGAGGAGGCCATTGTGATGCTGACCAGCCCAGCCTCCTCTTCCCAGAGAAGTGGGTTTTCTTTTAGAAAGAGAAATGAAAAATGTCTTTTGTGTAATGGGGTGAGGGGTTCTGTGCGCATATATACTTTGATTTGATATCTGCTCCTCTTGGGTATGTAATAGGCTCTGTGAAATTTTAGCAGTCAGCCTTTTGTTGTTTCTCTAGAAAACTGGAGGTGCTCGGCAAAGCTGCCTCCCAGGTCTGTTACTGTAAACGGCTGTGTGGGACCAGCACTGTGGGAAGCTGCTGCAGCGTGATCTTGACACCCATTGCTTTTTGGACTGAGGTGGAAATGCCAGTCTGGCTGCCAGTGAACTCTGCTTAAATCGAGCTTCCCATTTCCAGAGCGTGGTGGTGTCATATGCACTTCTAAGAAGTAACACTAAGCGTTCCTGTGCTCCCCTGACCCAGTGTCCCCATGGGTGACACCGTGCAGAATCATGGGGCAGGTGCACTGCAGGATGCTGGCCCTGGTCCAGTCAACACAGGACATCTTCATCATCAAAGGCACCAGCTGTGCCCTTGGCACTCACGAATCTTGTCACTTCAAGACCTTTATGTATTTAGCACATGACCTTTTAGGATTGGCTTTTTCTGTACTTATTGCAGGAGATCCATGTGCTGTGGGGCCAGCACAGATGATCTACTCGCCTTGATGGCTGTGTTGTATTCCGTGGGATGGACATACCAGTGTCTGTTGACCATTCACCTGGAGCAGGGCACCCAGGCTGTTGGCAGTTGGGGGCTATTATGTAGGAAGCTTCTAGGGGGAATAAACCCTGCACAGATTTTTGCATGGATGTAAATGTTCATGTCTGTGGCTCCCGTGTCTGGAGGTGTGGTTGTCAGAGTCTGTGGCAGTGCCATGCTTGGATTCTGGACAGTTTCCAAATGTTTTCCAGAGTCTCCGTGACTTTACCTTTGCACTAGCAGCATCTGAGCCATCAGGTGGCTCCACACTGCTAACTGTGGCTGTTAGGATGGGTGCACGGTAATATTTCACTGTGTGTATGTGTGTTTAAGGTTTTTGTGGTTAATTATTTAAAGAAGGCATGACAGAAAGGGAGAGCCAAAGAAAGAAGTCTCCCATATGCTGGTCAATTCTCCTGATAGCCACAGTAGCCAAGACTAGACTGGGCCAAGGCCAGCAGCCTGGAACTCCATCCAGGACTCTCCATTGTGTTCCCAGGTCGGTTAACAGAGGGCTGAGGCACAAACAGGGCAGCTGGGCCTGGAACCAGCAGCATTACTGATTCCTGCCATTGTGAGTGATGGCTTACTGCACAGAGCTGCAACTCTGGCCCCTCTCATTGTGTTGTTAATTTGCTCTGGTCTCGTGGCTGGTGATGGAGAAGCCCCTTTTGTGTGTTCCCCGACCACTCTAAGATCCTCTTTGCAGGAGAGGCTGCCATGTCTGTGTTCTGACTGGCTTCCTTGGCGTTCTCATTTGAATTCTGAGGACTCTTGGTGTCAGATAGCTGCCGGGGCTCCTCCAGGGTGTGTAAATACTTCCTCCCAATCTGTAGCTCATGTTTTTCTGCTCTCCAAAGAGGCTTCACAGACAAGTTAACTTGATAATTCAGTTTACCAGTTCTTCCGAAGATCTTACGAAGTTTCCTGTTTTCCATTTGTGTCTGTGGTCCCCTCTGAGTCTGTGTGTCAGCCAGGTGTGAGGTTTTAGAGAAAGGCTCATTGTGTTTGGTCTCGAAATGCCCAGCCACCCCATAACCCATTTGTGGCAGTAACTTGTCCCCACCGCCTGAGTTGCTGCTGCACTTGTGTCAGAGCTGGTCAGTGTCTCTGGGTGCGTCCACCCCGGGTCCTCTGTTCCTGTCACCCTTCCACGGCCTGTTCTCTCTCAAAGAGACACTTCAACCTCTCGGTCCTGCAGGGTACAGTGCCAAGCAGGAGTTCCTGTTCCTGACCACCGTGCCAGAAGTGGGAAAGCTGTCAGGAGAGAAGCACTTGACTGAGGAATTAAAGGTGAGCACCCGTTGGGCAGTCCTGCCTGCTGACAAGGAAACAGTCTTCCTTGGTGAGCCCCCTGTGGCGACCCCCATCCCGTGGGAGCAGCCACACCCCTCCTCAGTACACATACATACACACTTACCTGCAGTGGCTTCAACACGCAGGTGGAGTGAGCATCCCTGAGCCTGAAACCTGACATGGTCCTAAATCCAAAACTTCTGATACACTGTAAGTATAAAATTCCACACCGTGAGGTTTTGTTCCATGCACAAAATTAATCAAGGTATTGTATACCAGAGTGGGCATTTAACCTGGTCATGAAGACACCCTTGTACCTGAATTGATGACCTGGCTATAGCTTCCTGTCAAGGCATGTTCTGCAAGGCAACGGGAATAGTTCCTGACACCCACCTAGGAGATCTGGCTCAGGCCCTGGCCCAGGCCCAGCTATTACAGCCTTTGGGAAGTGAACCAACAATGCTGCTTCTGTATCTTAAAAATATAAACAAATCCCCACATGTTTTTCAGCAAGAGAGAAGAGCAAATTCTGTGGCTCTCTTTTTGTGTATCCTGGCTTTTAATATTTAAGTGGAAAAAAGTAGAAAAGACTATCGTTAAAATGACATTCTGTATTTCCCAAGAGAAAAAAAAAAAAACAGAAAAAGATGCTTTTTCATTAAGATAGAAGGGCAGTTTTTTCCCGTTGTATTTAATGCTTGAGTTCAAAGAAAAGCAAAATTTCAATATTTTGAAGTGATGGAAAATTTTCTGCATTTTTTTTTAATTTTCATTTGAGAGAAAGGTCCCATCTACTGATTTCTTCCCCAGATACCCTTAAAGGCTAGGGCCAGTGCCAGGAGCCAGGAGCGCCATCCAGGTTTCCCATGAGGAACCAGTACCTTCCAGAATCTTCACTGACGGGAAGCCGGAGTGAGGAGCTGGTGTTGAACCCCAGCGCTCCCCCAGGCTGGGGCACAGGCACCACACCTACCCCTTGCCCCCTTTCGTGCAGTTTCTAAGGAGAACGTGCTCATGCATGTGATCGGTGACCGGGGTTAGGTTGGGAGTCTTGAAAAGTCAGAGCAGATTGACAGGAAGACTGAGAGACACTCCTGGGACATGAGCAAGCGAGAGTTGGCAGCCATGTGCCCAGTGATGTTCCCCAAGGTCCCGTGGAAGGGCGGAGGGTGAGGGCAGCAGGACTGGGCTGAAGGCGGGGTGGAGGCCAGGCTCCGGAGGACCTGCCCTCACTTCCTCCACATCAGGAAGTAGCCTTTAAAATCCCCAGTACAGCCTTCCCCCACCAGGGGACCACAAGGGTTCTTGCAAGTCCACGAAGGGAGAACAGGGAGTCTGACTGTAGGGTAGGAACCTCTCTCAGCCCAGCATTTCCCAGCATCCTGTTCTAGTATGTTCTAGAAGGCCATGTCTTCCATTTTGTAGCAGACCCATTCGTTGGGAGGTCAGGATATTGGAGCTGGTCTATAAACACATCATCGGTAAGCCTAGTACCTATAAAAAAACATACTTGACAAAGAGCACAGCTCTCGATGTTTGGCACTGTTTCGATGCTTTTTAGGAAATCTTGCCCTACACCTGAGTGTCTGGATTCAAGTCCTGGTTTGCTCCCAGTTTCAGCTTCCTGATGCTGAGCCTGGGAAGCAGCAGGTGGTGGCTCAAGTAGCTGAGTTCTGCTGTGTACATAGAAGACTTCAGTGCCCTGCTAGGCTCCTGGCTTAGGTCTGGTCCAGCCCCAGCTATTGTAGGCAATTAGGGAAGACATCAGGAGAGGGGGCTCTTTCCCCTCCCCCGTCAGTCTTACCTCTGGCTTTTAAATAAATAAGGAGGTGTCCAGGACATTTTAGTCCATGTGGTAGATTTAATTTGGAGGAATCATCTGCTTTGGGGTGTTCTGTATAGCTTGAGGGGAAAAAATAGAAGTAGCAGCAGAAATGAAAAGGCTGAGAAACACAACCCCAGCTGGAGCTGTGGAGGAAATCTTTCAGAGGTGCCTGGAGTTTGTCATGTCTGGGCCGACACCACTGCCATGACCCCTGAGCGTCCCCTGGCTCGCCCTCCCCTCCATGCACATTTGCGATGCGAGTGTGCACAACCACAGGCATGCACAGTGCCATGCATGCTGCTCCACTGAGGCTTCCCCAGGTGTGTTTGTCAGCTTGAGATCGAGCGGCCCCAGCTGTTGGTGGTGGCAGACTGTGTGCAGAGGGGGAAAGGAAGTACATGGGCTTATGTCATCAAGCCCCATTCTCTGCTAAATTACCTTCCAAAGGCACGCAGTGACCTCAGGGCCTCCCCCTGGTAGCATAATTAGGTCAAATATGAACATAAGACTGTAGGGTTTAGCTGCGTGAGTTTGGGAGCCAAGACCTATTCAAATCCTGACCTCAGGTATCTGTACAGACCTCTGCAGCCGCCTCCAGGTACAGTCAGGACTCAGTGAGAAGCTGTAGAAGCAAAGATGCCACCCCCCAGCAGGGGAGTTGCGTTTTGAGCATTAACCAAGGGCTTCTTGTGCTTCCCTTGTGCTTCCCTGTTCTCTGTGGGTCTCAAGCCAACCAGAGGAACTTGAGCTTTTTTTTTTTTTATTGTGCTTTTTCTGGGGAACATTTTTATTTATTTTTGAACGAGAGAATGATAGGGAGAGAAAGAGATGTGGCACCTGATGATTCATGCTCCAAATGCCCATAGTGACCAGCAACGAGGAACTTCATCTACGTATCCCACTTGGGTAGCAGGAGCCTAAGCATTTGGGCCATCATCTACAGCTTTTCCAGGTGCCTTGGCAGGGAGCTGAATCTGAAGCAGAGCAGCTAGGGCTCAGTTCGGTGCTCCAATATGGGATGGTGGTGTTGCAAACATCGGTTTAAACTGCTGGGCCTCAACAGGTGACCTCCCCCACTTTTTTTCTTTTAAGGGAGAGCAAAACGTCCCTGGGTGGTGGCAAGGCGAAGGCCAGCCGGGGCAGCTCCTATTCAGAGTTGGTCCCGTCTCCTGCTCATGGTCCCTTGTCCTTCGCAGCCAACTGGGAACATGCTTGCAGCTGGTCAGCACGTTCAACCCCTGGTCCACCTGCAGCGCCTGGAGCTCATCAGAAACACGTGTAGGGACGAGGCGCTGAGGAACCTCTCGCACACGGCCATCTCCAAGTTCGTTCTGGACCGCATATTTGTCTGCGACAAGCACAAGATCCTCTTCTGCCAGACCCCCAAAGTGGGCAACACCCAGTGGAAGAAAGTGTTGATTGTTCTCAATGGTGGGTGGGGCCCCGTGAGCACCTGTCTGGGATGGCAGAGCTCTGCTTGGGGGAGGCTCTCAGTGTCCACTTAGGCAGGGGAAGGGGATGGCAGGGTCCCAAGGAGGGGGTTCTCCCAAAAGGGCTGCTGATGACTTCTTTCGCAGTCCTCTGTGGCATCCATGCCTGGTCAGTGCTGTTCTTTGTGAGTTTGGTACAGTATGGCTTATTCAGACTTTCATTCTAGCCAAGGTTAAGGTCTCCTGGGTTTCCCTGGTGGAATCTCCCACTCAGGCAGCTGGCCCCTGTCCCAGCCCTCAGCCCTTTGTTTGCTGTGTCTGGACCGACCTCCTACCAAGGCACCTCCTGTGCAGTGAGCAAGGTCCTTGCTGGGGCGGGGAGCCCTGCCACACAGGCCTAAGCTGCAGCTACATGTTCTTTACCACTTGGGTGGGAAGAAGCTGCACCCTACTTGATGCTTGGTGTCTGTGCTCAGAGGATTTCACTTGCTTCAGGATAGCTGAGGTTTGTGCAGGAGAAAACCAGATGCTGGACAGGTGATGTCATCCAGTACACTTTCAGTTACTTGCTGTTCTGTTCGACACCCCTGTGTCTTTGCTTCAGTTCCAGTTGGTCTTCGTAAATCCAAGGGAATGGTAGACTCCATCTGTTCAATTCAGGTCCTAAAGTGACATTATTCCAAGCAGTAGCAGTGGCACTCGCAGGTCCAGAAGAGGCTTGGAGATGCTATGGACACTCCTAGGGCTGCTCTCAGTATCTCTTGTCACTGTGACTACCAGTGGACCTCATCCCCGGCTGGGGGAGGAAGAGAAAATGTTCAGGCTCATCCTCAGGGGTGTGTGTGGTGTGTTCTGGTAGTGTGCTGGGTTTTGGAATCAGAGCAAGGTTACAAATCAATTTGACAACAACAGGAGTATGCACACGAAGGCTCCCAAGTGGGGAACATCATCTTTTTAACAAATGGGAGGTGCCAGCACCCAAAGGGCAGGGTGAAGAGGGGACCAGGCTTGCTGGGCCACATCCTGCAGGTGCACATGGTCCCGTGTCTGTTTTTAGCTGGCTAAGGACAGGTGCAGGTCAAGGCAGCTGGTTCTTTTGTCCACCTGTGCTCATATCACTGTTCTGTCATCCACAGCCACCCATGGCCCACAGCACAGAAATTCTGGACAAGGGCTTAAGTATGTGAGGGGAGGAATGAATAAGATGAGGCTGTGGCCGCTGCTTGGATGGTACCCACCTGGACCCTGAGCTTAACATAATTACAGGATTAGTATGCAGTCAGATGCTAAGGTTGCACAGGCTTAGCTAAAACATCCTCAGCAAAACGTGATTTCCGTTTGAGAAAAGAATGAAAATCCTGCCTAGTCACTAGGCCCACGTTCCATTCAGCTGCTTGTCATGGTTCCCATAACTGAGGTCAGACTCGACATCAAACACTTTGCCAGTTGTCAAGCTGGGTGCTTGCTAGGTTTCCCAAGGACTCGTATGGTGCAAATGGGATGATGCTGAAGCACTCAGCTTGGGGCTGCCACAAGGATCTTCGCAGTGGTGTTGGCAGAATTTGCACTGCGTTCCCCATTGCTGTTGCTCTGGATTCACTGGGATTAGAGATTGTGTTGGTGTGCAGCCCAGTTGAGGTGCACCACCAACAGTTGACATTGTCCATATACCAGCCCTGTTCTACCCTTTTGCTCCCTGTTGTCATCTTTCCTCTAGCTGGCCCCTGTCCTAGCAAGGGCTCTCCTTTATGCTGTCCTCCTGGCCACAGCAGCAATTGCAGTTCAGAGGCCTAAGCTTGGGTGGTGGGTGTGGACCTGTGGTGTGTACTTTGGTGAGCACAGGGGCTGGGCAGGGGGGTTGCTGGGCACCTTGCCTCAGGGAGCATGCCAGGGTACCAAATCTGCTTTCTCTTTTGCTTCACCACTGTTGGCCAGGAGCCTTCCCTTCCATTGACGAGATCCCTGAGAACGTGGTTCACGACCATGAGAAGAATGGCCTCCTACGCCTCTCCTCCTTCAGCGATGCGGAAATCCAGAAGCGGTAAGAGCCACTCCTTGGGGCAGAGAAGCGGCTTTCCAGAAGCCCTCCAAGATGTTCTATAGCCGCCTGGCTCCGGTCTCTGCTGCCTCTTGGCCCACTTGGCTTCAAGGACCGTTAACATTGGTTTGTGTTGATGAGCACTGTGTTATTGATCCAGTACATTCTCCCTTCTCCTTCCTCCTTCTCTGACTCCTCCTCCTCCTTTTTTTTTTTCTTAAGATTTACTTATTTATTTGAAAGGCAGACTGACAGGGAAACTTCATCTGCTTGTTCACTTCCCAAATGGCTGCTGCAGCCATTGCTTGGCCAGGCCAGAGTCAGAAGAAGCCTGGATCACCATCGGCGTCTCCCACAGGAGTAGCAGGGACAAACTATTCGGGCCATCCCTTTCTGCTCCCCAGGCGTGTTAACGTGGATGGGGCTGGATGCGAAGCTGAGAGGCTGGATGTGGCATGTGGGCGTCATGAACAGTGGCTTAACCCACTGCACCAGAGCACTGCAGCCAGCACGTGGACATTCTCTAGTCATCATGAGTGTTTTGAGTCATGTCCCTGTCTTCCCTTTACGTGGATTTTGACAACAGTTAGGTAGTCTTTAGCGCAGAAGTGAGTGCCAGTCTGCTGGGCTTTAGTTTTGTTCCGGTGGACAGAGTCCTCACTGTGCATGCTCTTTTCTTAAAGAAGGGAACGTGGGTTGCAAGGATACCCTTCTGAGTGTTTCACACTCTACCCAGGCCCTATGCCTGCTGTTTGGGGAGCTGCCCAAACAGTGGTGGTACACGGTGTACCCTGCGCAGGCAGGGCAGGGTGACAGGCCTCCCTGATGGCAGCACTTGTGGAACCCTTGGCCAATAGAGGAGCCATGCAGGGGTCGGTCCCATGGGCCCCATGTAAAGGAGTGGGCATACAGGAGCAGCAGACTCCGCCAGGCCCTCGTCTGCCATGCAGACACTTGCCTTCCCTTGCCTTCAGCCCTACTCAGTTCAGTGTTCTCACCAAGCACAAACCCAATCAGAAATGCTTCTGGTTTGGAATTGTTTTTTCCTGATCCACAGGGCTTTGGGGAGTTCCAGAAAAGCACGCAGAATAGTCGGTGGCCCTTAGCACGCTGTCAGGACAGTATCATCAGCGTCATTCTGATCAACACTGTCGCTACTCCCAGCCTTCCTGCCAGACCGCTGCTCTGCTGCAGCCTCTCCCAGCAGCCCCGCCAGGCCAGCTCCTGCCAGCTGCTGCCTGGAGCCTCACCCTACCTTACCTCTCGGTTCTCTCCCTACCATTTTTTCCTTCCCCTAGCAATTGCAAAGTATATTTTTAAAAATAATTCTTTTTTAAAAAATTACATTTCTTTGAAATGCAAAGTGACAGGGAGAAATAGAGGAGAAAGAGATCTTGCATCCCCTAACTCACTCTTCAGATGCTCACAATAGCCAGGACTGGGCCGGGCAACGGCCCAAGCACTCGGGCTGCTGCATCTGCTGCTGCCTTGCCCAGCACAGCAGCAAGGAGCCAGACCTGAAGCAGAACAGCAGGGAATTGAGCTAGCACTCTGATAGGGGTGCCAACATCATAGGCTGCAGCTTAACCCACTGTACTGTAGTGCCAGCCCCAAAGACAGTTCCTTAAGGTAACTTAGGCTTCATTTACTTCCAACGTGGAGTTCCTGCTCCTACAGTTTTCTGCCTAGAAATAAAACTTTTTATCATTCTTGGAAGTTTAGTTACTCAAGTGAAATATACAGACGAAACAGATGCCTTCATGACTAGGCAAGTCCCATGGCCGTGGACAGTTGAGATATCCCAGCTGTGCTTGCTCATCTGCAGAGTGGGTCATTAATACTTGAACACACAGAATCTTGGAGAGGATCAGCAAGATGCTCAGAGTGCACTGGCTATGGGGCTGGGCCCTGGGGAGGGTTGGGCCGGGGGAGGCTGGGTTAGGGGAGGGCTGGGCCTGGGGGAGGGCAGGGCTGGGCCAGCAGGTGAAGCAGCTGCTATAATCCTTTTTTCCCCCCTCCCCACTCAGGCTTGGAGTCAGACTGATCTCTCTGTCTCGTTTTGATTTTTTTTCCCCCTTAGACTTAAAACATACTTCAAGTTTTTTATTGTCAGAGACCCCTTTGAAAGACTCATATCTGCCTTTAAGGATAAATTTGTCCACAATCCACGATTCGAACCTTGGTACAGGCATGAGATTGCCCCTGGCATCATCAAAAAGTACCGGAAGAACCGGACAGAGACCCGGGGCATCCAGTTCGAAGATTTCGTACGCTACCTGGGCGATCCGAACCACAGGTGGCTGGACCTCCAGTTTGGGGACCGCATCATTCACTGGGTGACCTACGTGGAGCTGTGCGCACCCTGCGAGATAAAGTACAGCGTGGTGGGGCACCATGAGACCCTGGAGGAGGATGCACCATACATCCTGAAAGAGGCTGGCATCGACCACCTGGTGTCCTATCCCACCATCCCTCCGGGCATCACCGCCTATAACAGGACCAAGGTGGAGCACTACTTCCTGGGCATCAGCAAGCGCGACATCCGGCGCTTGTATGCACGATTTGAAGGGGACTTCAAGCTCTTTGGGTATCAGAAACCAGAGTTTTTGCTCAACTAGTGTCTGGGTCTTGGGGGCTCGGATAGCTTCTTGAGGCCAGGGGCTGCTAGCAGGCTGGGTACCCAAGTGCAGAACTCACCCTTCCCACACTATAGCCAGGCCTGGTCCCGTGAGCGCCCTGGCAGACGATGGACACTCGGCCCTTGCCACTTGTTTGGGACATAAAGTATGCTGAGGATCCACCCCACCCCTGCCAGTGTCATCAGGATGCTACCAGACCCTGCTGTCCTTGGAAGGGAGGGAAAACCAAACGCTTACACTCTGAGAGAGCCAGCGGGAGGGAACATGGCCCGATGCAGGCAGTATGTGACCTGGCTCTCCGGGGCCTTGCACATCATCAGTGGATTGCAGAGGATGGTGTAGGAGCCACGGGACTGCAGGCCCAGCAGAGATGAAGGCAGGATTTAGTCTGCCTCTAGAAATGGTGCCTCTGCCTGGCATCCTGGCAGTGCTGTCAGCTTGAGGCTCTGGGAGACCATCCCTGTGACATTGAGCGACAGGCAGAGGGCAGTTTCCAGCCAACCACTTAACCTAGCTCAGCAGCAGGATGTGACTTCAGAAAGTGAGGGGCAGTGAAGGTACCTTCCAACTGGGAAGGGGAACGTGTTCGGGAACTGCTAGAGTTGCCAGGCCCTGGCGCTCAGGCCGCTGTGCACTTGGACAGCATTTTGCCCATCCTGTCTGCACACCTTGACTTTCCCCAGTCGGTGGGGAGGGAGCAGACCTGCACCCATCTCCAGGGGCCTTCCCTGCAACCAGGGATGAGCAGGGACAATTTATGCCCCATCCCACAACTCAGTGCCATTCACTCATCTCATTGTCCCGTCATCTCAGCAAAATGTTCGCTACCAGACCTATTTCTGAAAATGCCACTCTGCAGGACTCAATGGCCAGAAGTTGGGTCATCAGGTTCACCAGCAATAAAATCCTGGGCCCAAAAAAAAGCCTCCAGCAATGTCTCCCAGGCATCAACATAGGCCACAGCAGCCAGTGTGATGCCAGGGGCCAGGGGAGGCTGATGGGCACGGCTGCCCAGAGATGAGCCCTGGTGCTCATGTCTGCCCACACCCTGCCCACTTGCCCAGCATTTCTTAAAGGCAGCCTCAGCTTTTCCTCCCTTCCAACAGCTTGCTGACCTTGTCAGTGTGAAAGTGAAATAAAAGTAGGAATTTGTGCCAAACTTACATGTGGTATGGTCCCAGGAGAAGGTGTCTGGAAGTCTCAGTGTCCCACCTCCAACCCTTCACCCAAGGCCCAATGATGGACTGATACATTCAGGCTGCCCAGACCACAGGAGGGAGCTATAAAGTGGTTAGCAGTCTCGGGAATACCATTACAGACCCAGGAGCTGACAGTCATGACCTCTCCTGGTTGAAAAGTAGCAATGTGACTGACGTGTGTGAATTTCTGGCCTTGAAGTCAGTCCTAATTAAAATAATGTTTTCTCTCAGAGATTGAATATTGACTTCTTGGGTGTTGGTTTTAGATCATTTTCCTAATATTTTTGCCAAAAAAAAAAGAGAGCTTGCTACTGAAAGTACCACCTGCACATCTTTACTTGTCCAGATCAAGGTCACGTCCACTGGCCCTGGAGAACAGCATCTCCGGGTGGTGCAGCACCTTCCTCCACTGAGGGCTTCTGAGTTGACAAAATCTGTTCTCCTCCTTCTTGGCCTGAAAGTAGGCGAGCCCCCCTTCTGGTGGTGTGTCTGCCAGTACAGCCCATTTCTGAAGCTGGCTTATGCTGGGAGCAATGGTGGGTGAGGTCTATGGGCCATGCCTTCACAAGTCTCTGTGTCCCCTGGCTGGTCAGCCACACTCTGGGTTTCTTTCATCGGAACAGGCCGTTCACTCTTGTATTGTCATATGGATAACCCGAGATAGGCCCATGTTTTACTGTGCAGAAGATTTTGGCACTACATCTGAGTACCAATCCATGTCCTAACTGCCTGATTTCTGATCCAGCTTGGAGCTGATGGCCTGGGAAAGCAGCAGAGGATGGGCCAAGTGCACAGTGCTTTCTGCTGCCTTAAACTTGGTAGCTTTTTCTGCAGCTTTGGAGCACCTGCCACACTCTGCCTCTCTTCCCCCTCCTGGCAGAATCCTGTTGGACAGACTCCAAACATCCTTTGTCATGACTGACAAACCAAACAAAATCCCCAAGCCAGTACGTCAGCTCAGTCGCTGTGACTTGCAGTTATCAGAATGTAGTGTGACTTTGGGCAGATAGGATCTTTTTTTTTTTTTTATTTTTAAAAGATTTATTTCTATTGGAAAGTCAGATATACAGAGAGGAAGGTCTGTCCACTGATGCAATGGCCGGAGCTGAGTCTATCCAAAGCCAGAAGCCAGGAATGTCTTCTGGGTCTCCCACAAGGGTGCAGGGTCCAAAGCTTTGGGCCATTCTCCATTGCTTTCCCAGGCCATAAGGATGGAGCTGGATGGGAAACAGGGCTACCAGAACACAAACCAGTACCCATACGGGATCCTGACACATGCAAGGTAAGGACTTTAGCTGCTAGGCTACCGCACCAGGCCCAAAAGTCAGTTTATTTTGATATGAATTCTCACACATAAAGTTGAAGTTCATACATAGTTTTTTCTTTTCCTCTTCTTTTTTTTAAGATTTACTTATTTTTAATGAAAGGGCAGATATGCAGAAAGAAGGAGAGACAGAGAGTTCTGTCCGATGATTCACTCCCCAAGTGACTGCAATGGCCAGAGCTGAGCTGATCCAAAGCCAGGAGCCAGGAGCCTCCTCCAGGTCTCCCACGTGGGTGCAGGGTCCCACGCCTTTGGGCCGTCCTTGACTGCTTTCCCAGGCCACAGGCAAGGAGCTGGATGGGAAGCGGGGATGCCAGGATTAGAACTGGCACCGAAATGGGATCCTGGCGCATTCAAGGTGAGGACTTTATCCACTACACTATTGCACTGGACCCATGCATAGTTTTCAGGATGCATTTTCTTTGAACAATTTTTAAGAACTCATATGCATTAATTTTTATGCAACAAAATTATCTTTTAATTCCATTTCATAGACATTTTGAAGTGCCCAAGTGTAGTTTTTCAGTTTGATCTTCATGTTGCGCGTTAACATGTACTTCCTTTTGCTGCTGACTAGTACTTCATCCTATGAATAGACTGCATTTTCTTCACCCATTCACCCTTGGGTGCATATTGGAATGTTCTCCGGTGTTTGGTGCTTGTGTATAATGCTCTCGGGAGCACTTGCATGTCTGTGTGGATGTTGTCCTTTCTCTTGTGTAGATTAGGCACAGAATTACTGAGTCACAGTAGGGCTTTTGTTTCCTTGGAAAGAAAATGGATGCTGCTGCCTCGAGCAAACGTATTTATTTTTTATCTTCATTTTACTGGAAACGGAGGGAGATGCAGAGACAGAGATGTTCTGTTAGTCCACTCCCCAAATGCCTGCAACATCCAGGATGGTCCGGCTCAGAGGCAGGAGCTGGGGACTGTCCGGGCCTCCCCTGTGGGTGACAGGGACGCAGGTACTCGAGCATGACCTGCTGCTGCCACGGTGCACAGTAGCAGGACACTGAGCCAGGAGTCCAACCCAGTCACTTCGATGTGGGATGAGGCATTCCAACGAAGTATTAGCTTCCATGCCTCATTCTCCCCTTTTGAGGAAGATTCAAAAAGGCAAAACTGCACCCCACGCCCATGTTACAAGTAGAATAAAAGAATTTGGCCAATTACACTGAGAAATCATCTGGAGACAGGAAGTAATAGCCAAAAAATGTTTCTAGTCTTCACTTAGTGGGCAATGATGACATAAACTCTGGACTTCCATGTCAGGGGCCGCCTGGGGGAATGGTGTGAACACCGTCACTCAGGCCAGCAGGGCATGGTGCACCCTGACAGCCAACATGCAAAGGAGCAAAGAGTGGTGCATTTCCTCCATTGCACAAATGCAGGAAGACCCGCGAGTCATTCCCATCGAGTACCTGGTGCTGCACAAGTCCAGCATTGCTGTTACTGCTAAACCTGGAAACGTGCCCACTTTGAATAAATCAGAAGTGGTCATTGAATTATAAGGTTTCCAAAATATCATACCTTTATTGTATTTTGTATACTAAGAAGACTAATAGTATGGCAGATGTGAGAATACCCGCTTTCCAGCTGTGTAGAACTTTGGACCACTGGTTCTACATTAGCTGTTCTGCCTTTTGCCTCTAGAGGACGCTGTTTCCTGCATTAGCTCTTGCTACACCCGGGTTCTCCCTTTAGGAAACCTATTAAGGTTTTTCTGGGAGTTGCCGGGCCCATGACTTCCAGGGTCAGATTCTGCTAAAAATCAAATGAAGCAGAAAATAGATCCAGTCCACAAAGAAACTACCAAAACTCTGAGAACTGTGGAAATGGAAATGTGCTCATCTTTATCTGTTCACAAGCTCTGAAAACAGCACAGAGCATCCCTTCTTAGAAGGTAATTCCCGGAAAGAGGCTGTACACTGAAGGATGTTGGTGCTGACAGTGGCAGGTTTTAGATCTGGAATCCCTTGCTTCGGTGTGATTTCACTGTGACAGGTAACCACCTGCTGGAGATGACCCCCAAACAGTTGTTCCACAAGGATTTCCTGTGAGTCCAAAGCAGCCATTCTGTAGGTGCAAGCTGTCCTCGTGTGAAGCAGAGCCACAACAGTGTCACGGAGTGTCCCCTGAATGGACTGGAATGCATTCCCAGAGCTTGGCGGGACTTCCAGAAGCAGTCTGTCTGGAATTGCGTACTCATGAGCATCAGGGAAACACCACCCCAGGGTTTTGCATGTGGTATTTGTGAGCTGTTTTTCTATGCAACAGTTGTTCTAAGTTGCAAGTCAGTTAATTCTTTTGTAGAAAGCTTTTCCTGTTTCATAAGAATGTAAGAAATATTAAGATTTGTATCAAAAGCTTTATGTACGTACAAGGATGCAAGCATTTTCTTTTTTTAAGATTTACTTAACTTTTATTGGAAAGTCAGATATACAGAGAGGAGGAGAGACAGATCTTCTGTCCGATGATTCACTCCCCAAGTGACTGCAATGGCCAGTGCTATGCTGATCCAAAGCCAGGATCCAGGAACTTCTTCCAGGTCTCCCACGTGGGTGCAGGGTCCCAAGGCTTTGGGCCATCCTTGACTGCTTTCCCAGGCCACAAGCAGGGAGCTGGATGGGAAGTGGAGCTGCCGGGATTAGAACTGGCACCGAAATGGGATCCCGGCACATTCAAGGTGAGGACTTTAGCCGCTAGGCCATACTGCTGGGCCCGAAGCAAGCATTTTCAATGAGCTTTCTAAGAACCCTTCACATGTGTGGATTTAAACTTTTTTTTTTTTTTTTGCACAATCTTAATTTCAATTCTATTTTTCCATGAATTTTTTGAAGCATCTTTCATGCATATAATGTAGGAAAATTTTCTGAAGCCCTCAGCATCAGTCTCCACTCTTGGCACAGAAAAGAACTGTGGGCTGTTCCTTCTTCAAAAGCTTAGTGCTAGCCACATGGATGGCATTCTTACTACCTGTGCTATGACATGCACAGTGGGCACCGTGTTGATATGTGCTACTACACAGAGAAGCTCCAGCCTCCTGCTGGCCTTGGCTGTGTGCATGCAAGGGCAGATGGTTGCTTAAAATACCTATGGGGACATACGTCCCTGTGAACACAGCACCAAGGAATGCCTTGGTGGTCACAGCTCTCTAACGGCATGCAGGACAAAAATCTGAGAAATAGCTACTGCTTGGTGCAGACAGATCTGCGAATGTTACATAGAAGTGGGTAGGATTGCTTTATAGCTGCAATTTTTATGCTGATTCTAGATGATTCTGGGGAAGAAAACTAGCATCTAGGTACTTAAGAGCTGCATATTTAAGCACCTCTTGGTAAAGAAAACTTGCTGGGACATATGGAAAGACTCTGTTGAGAGAGGTTTCCATGGTTACACTGTATGTGTTCAGGCTTGGGCAGCTCCCAAGGGGGTGAAAGACCACAGGGCTTTTGTTCAATCAATAGCCTCATTACTACTCAGCCAATGACTCCATTAGCTCCCACAGCAACATGTTCCGAGCTAGTGAATGACTGATGGTGACTTCACACAGAAATTCACACCAACTCCTGTACTTTATACACCTGTATTGTGAACGTATCAGATGTTTCCCACAGTTTATTTTCTAACCTTGTAAAGCCTATGCCATGATTTAAAATGCCATGGCAGACATTTAACATTACGGTGAAGACACCATTGAGAGGCTCATGTCCCATACCTGCCTG